AATGGGAAAACCACCCTCTCTTTCCCATACATGTTTGCAATTATCAAACATGATAAATGACTTTTTTTGGTCGGAATAAATGAATTAATTTCATATATAATATAAAGAATCATATATTATAAATTGTAAATATAAGCATATTAAGCAGAATATATTTTATTTTAATATAATATAAACTACGAAGAAGAGGGAGACTCGAACTAGATTCATAATGAGGACCATGTCCGCAGATAATTTATAAATATTAGAGTCTTCCCTCAATTGAATAATTATTCTAATAAAGAGGGGACCACATAAAAAGGAGCGGTAGTTAAGTTGATGACTTGCAATGCGATCTCAAAGTACGTGATGAGCGGGCTAAGAAGAAGCCCACAAGGCACCACAAAAAGAAATTTATTATTTTATAGGCTGCCAAAAGTATATAGTATAGGATATATATATATATATATATTCTTTTTTTTTTTCTTTTTTCGTGGTCAACTGTGTATCTATATATATAAAGCAAAAGGCAGAAAATGGTGTAACATTCAAAATACCAGAAAATGCCCTTGGATAGCAAACATTAAGAATTGAAATTATTAATTAAATGAGGATAATATGGTAAATTCACACTTTTTCATATTTAAAAAAATTAAAATTAAAAGAAAAATCAGATAATGGATCATATTTTTATGGAACACAACTACCCATTATCTTTTTTAATTCTAAAATAAATTTAAACTTTTTAAAAAAAGCCTCTCGCAGACACGGAAGTACGTGCAAGGAAGCTAGTGGATAATTAGAGTAGGTATGAAATTTGGGTTTACCAAGATATGCTAACGTACAAAGAATATGCTATGCGTGTAAATAGGCACACGGAGTTGTAATGACGAAAGCAATTTCGAAGGTCAACAAGAAACGAAATTATGTTCAACTCATCAGTATTTTTAATGATTTTCACATTGAAAGTTAAAAGACTCGTCTAGTAAACATTTCGTTTTTAATTCTCTTTTTTTTTTTGTAATTACCCTTGAAAATGGTGGAAGAAAGATGATGGGAAAGATGTATAAGAAATGTACACCAAGCGATGTGGGACGGTGACACCATTCTTAGTAGTCACAATCCATCATCTTTAGAGGTCCGATGTCCTAGTTGGCACATTTTCGGTTGAGTCCAACTGGAGCATTTTTGTCTGACATGTACACCGCAACGTTGTTTGCATTTACGACTCAGCAACTCGAGATCTTGGCGCTGTTGTTATAGGAGGTGATCGCGGTGAGTTCCGGGTGTGGAAGGGATGTGGGAGAGTGGCTGGGGATGGGGAAGGAGCCTGAGTATTATTTTTCTCTCACAGTATTTTAAGTTTTGTTTAAACATAAAATGTTGTGGTTTTTCTTTTGTACATACACGTAGGAAAACAAGGGATTTCTAAAGTGCCACGTCATCACTTTGGACGAAAATTTTAATCAACTTGCTAACATATTTTAGTTAGTATAGGATTTCTCAAGGGTAAAATTGAACATGCAAAGTTGAGTTATGGCACAAGTTGGGTGAAAATGACTCTCAGGGGCAAAGTATAGAATTCAGTTCAGAAACATCTTTCAGTTAGTTTCAAAGTCTTTGGGGACTGGAGAGGTGGCTTTGCTGTCAACTTAGGTAATGGACAAACTCTGGATGCTGAGCTCTGGGGGTTATTCTTTGGTTTGAAGCTTGCTGTGGCTAAAGGGGTGGCTAGGCTTTCTATTGAAATGGATTTCTATGACTGCTGTCCAGCTTATCAAGCAGCATGTTCCTGGTTGTCTTCATCCTTTTACTGGGGTGTTTGCAAGTCGTGTTGCTTTGATGAGTAATTTTGATTATGTCGAGCTTTCTCATGTTTATAGGGAAAAGAATGCTGCTGCAAATTGTTTGGCAAATTGGAGTCTGAATATGGATCTGGGGGTCTGCTTTTTTGATGATGCTCCAGTTTGGATTAGCTCTGTTCTTATTGATGACTTGTTGGGGGCTGTGAAGCCTCGGATGATTAGTGTTGGCTAATTGGTTTTGCTTTTGGGGTTTTCCCCACTTCTTCATAAAATAAAAAATAAAATAAAAGTCTTTGAACATTAAAATTCGAATTAGTCAGGATATACTTATCTAAACCCTAAAGTTAAACTAATTCTCCACGATTAAGATTTTCTCAAGTCTGAAAAACAAATGTTCAACAAAAGAGTTCCTACCAAAACTAAGATTTAGGTGAGAAAAGAGAACTGCGTTTTATTGAATAAAGTGGGCACAAATTACTTTATCTAGATCATCAAGACATGGTTTATCAAGCATCTTAAATGTAAATATTTGCAAGCACATAATCTAAAGCAAGACTAACAATTCGGTGTACACCTTTTATTATTTTGGTGCCAAAAGTAAATTACAGATTTCATCTAAATGCAATTTGGTACGAACATTATACCGTCCAAGTTATATATACTTGGATATGTACGAACAGAAAATGCTTTTTTCCAGGTTAGCCAAGTATCCAAAACCAGATAATACTTCATCCTCAAAAAAGAACCATCACTAAGCCCAATACATATTCTATTCCACATCCATTACAATAATAAATACTAACACAATTTTCATTCGAAGATAGAATTTTATTAATCTGACCAAAATCTTCAATTTCCAAACCCGATATCCAAGATTCAACGTCACTTCAAAGAGTGATATTCTAACCAACACATATAGTAGATCTTTAACTTATATAATTCAAACAAGGATGTAAACTCGAATGAAACCCAAGTCCACCCTCGTCCAAATGACAATAACAATTAACTCATTTGTTTATACAAAGAAATCACGGTCGAACCGTACAAAAACCACCCAAGTAATTGAAGTAACCGAATGCTTCACCTGGTCTAATGGCTCCTGATCTGAACCAAGTCTTCTTCAAACTCAAGAAAAGAGCGTAACCCATTATATCACATATGCTACTGCTACCTTCAACTACTCAAAGATCGTGGTCTCAAAAGAGTAAAACAGAGGTTGATAGATGCCTTCGCACCATTGCCGCAGCCTAGGGAGGTCTACTCTCTGTGGAGAGTGAAGTCTGTGAAAGATAGAGAGGCTGCGGCTGACGGAGTACTACTTATAGTGGTTCCTCTGAAACCCTATTTAGGGTTATGGGCTGCTGAGGTCTATTTTGGGCTATAATATTGGCTATGCCGGGCCTATTAAGTCGGTTTCATGAACATAATTGTTTGTAGAAAAAGGGCTAGGCTCTTGAGTTCGAATTACAAAGGTCTCTAGTTTCGATTTTTTTTTTTTTTTTTCCTTTTAAACAGAAATTCTTTTGCTCCATCTCCATCCAAATTTGGATAGAAATTGTATTGTAACAAAAGATAAAAAGAATAGGAATTGCACTTATATGGTGATTGCGTTTCTTTGAGTGTCCAAATTATGGATTTCATCAATGTCTATAAAATTGTTTTTCTTTTTTCAGTCTAAGGGGAGAAGACCATAAGTCGAACTCACACCTGTTAAAGACCAATATATTCTATTTGATGGATGCATGCAATTGCCGGGACTCAAACTCAATAAACTTGGTGGATTAGGAGTAACCCCAATACTTAATTTTTATAATGAGTGTCTCCGGCAGATCATTAGGTTGCATATAAATTGCCACTTTCTTTTTTAACTTGCCATATATGAAAAATAATTGAATTGGTTTGTCTATTTGTTTCGTGTGTGAGTAATTTCTGCAATTGCATGTTAAATGATGATTATTTTTAGTATAAAATTTGTTTTATGGCATATGCAATATTTTAGTATAAATTTGTGTGTTAAAGAAACCCTGTTTCTAAAATCTTAGAAACAGCCCTAAGACTACTCTACTATTAGAAGTTATAAACTTGCTGAACTCTTGATTTTCTGAATATTAACAAATTTTGTTTTATGTACGTTTGTTCATACATATAGATATTTAAAGAGATTGATAAATTATTTGAAAAAAGCAAGGACAGATGCCCAGTCCATATCAGTTGTTTAGAGTCTGATGTATCATGTTGTTTCCATTGTATTTCTATTTTGTATTCTTTCACTCTTTAATATAATATTTTGAGTCTAAATGCTTCATTTCCTTCAACTTTAATTCTATGGTTTCAATTTAACCCACTGCTGAATCTTATCAAAATAGAAATTAACCCCCCCAAAAAAAAAAAAAAAAAAAAAAACAGTGATGAATACGATTGTGTGGTTGTTGGTGATTCACAACTGTGCTCTTACTCAAAGCTTCACGCATTGCTTAAGGCACCACTTACTCTTTGAATGTGACTTGATCTGTTATTGTCAAAATTGGTTGGAAATTTAAGCTCCACTACCTCCCAAAATGGTGGGCCAATGTTATCAGTTCTTAGGAGCTTAGGTTTTGGGTTATATCTCCAGCTCTTGCCCCAAATGTCACCCTCCAAATCACTTTCTAGATCATCTAAGACACAAATCTCATCTTAAATTTGGGTCAAATTATAAGTTAGAGTCATGCATTAGAAACTCAAAACTTAAACTTAACATTTACCCAAACTCAAACACATATTAATCATGTGTTTTTTTTGGACAAAGTTAGGAAGGGGGAGGAGGGGGATTTTCACACACATTACCAAGGTACTATGGGAGTTCCTAACTTGAGGCCACAGATTTACAAGTCAATATCATTTTTCAATATCATTTTTCACTGAGTCAGACCCCATTGACTATTAATTATGTGCATTGGAGCGACAACAAAAAATTATAAATCTTAAGCCCCACTAGTTTTGGACCCAAATATGAGAATATGGATATGGGATTTGAGCTGCACTAATAATATAGCACCAATTTGGAGTAATTTCCCAGAATTTTCTACTTTTTGGACTTTTCTAACAGTGTGTAGCTAGCACAGAACAAAAAAGATTCCTGAACAAAGGAAATTAATAATATGGGGAAAATTCTTACTCCCACAAGCACTTGTGTTGTACCTTCCTCTAATATTCTCAGTTTTTCACTATTAAGTACTAATTGTGCAGAGGGGGCACATTATTTTTAGGAGATGCATTGTCATGTAAATGCAACACATCAGCAATGGAAACACAATTCAAAGAAGCTGATCTCCTCAATTGCGGGATCCCATCTTGTCCAATCTCACAACTGTTCACTGTATTCTCCAAGTGAGCCCTTTCTCTAACAATATCTTGAGTTGTGGTCTTTGGAACAACATGATCATTTGCAAGACTTACAACCTCTTCCAAATCTTGGACAACCAAAACACTTGCATGGCTTCTGTGCTGGTATTCTGAAGCAGTCACATTTTGATCCTGCTGTGGATTCTCTTGAACTGGAGACAGCACTTGTTGATGATGATGGGGCACCAAAGATATGGCAGGAGCAGCAATATTCGACCGGCACAGCGGGCAACTAGAGTGAGATTTGAGCCAAGTATCAATGCAAGGAACATGGAAAGCATGGCTGCACTTTGGCAATAACCTCAGGCTCTCATTTTCTTCAAACTCACTTAGGCAAACAGAGCAGTCTGTGCCTTCTACAAGGCTGTCACCTCTCTTATACTTGTGAACTTTGATTGACTTGATCAGGGACTCATCAAGGCCAGTTGTTGAGCCTTGCCATGATTCACTAACTTGGTTTGGATTCGAATTCTCCATGTCTATGTCTCGACTGCCATCGTTGTCTCTTCGCCGGCAATATTTCGATATGATGGTGTAGTAAGTGACTAAAATGAAAGCAATTGCAAAGATGCCAATGACTGCTATAATGAGAGGAGAGAAATCTGTAGCAGAGTCTTTGCTGTCATCAGCTTTTGCAAAATAAAAAGGAGGAGGAGGGCCAAGGATGTAGCACCATTGTGGACAGTAGATGCTGCAAATTCCTTGAGAACAATCTTTGTAAGTGTCATATGGTGCCCAAGGATTTTTTGTAATTACCTTTAAAAATGGTGGAAGAAAGATGAAAGATGTGGAAGAAGTGTACACCAAGCGATGTGGGACTGTGACACCATTCTTGGTAGTCACAATCCACCAATCTTGGAGGCCGATGTCCTAGTTGGCACATTTTTGGTTAGTTCCAATTGTTTCCACAACAGAATTATTAATTATATACAAAATGAAAACTAAAAACAATTTCAAGTAGGAAGTTTTTGTTTCATATCTCTAGCCTCCATCCTATCACCCTTCCTCCACTATTCTTTCATCCCTCATTTTGTGTTTCCCCCTATCTCTAACAAAAAACTGTAAATTGAAGTCTAAAAATGAAATGATTATCAAATCGATCTTAAGTTTTTTTTATACTTATCATTCAGAAGAGGAGCTTAATCAAAAACAGCAATGAAGTACATCCATCACGTCACTAATCTAACGGTTTAGACATGGAGGCACCTCCTCAAGCCAACCCGCCTTAATTAAACTAAGTGTATTTGCATTAGGAAATTGCAAATCCATGAGACTTAATGTACGATATTCCAATTTACTTGTTTGGTCACCCAATTCACCATGTTTTGTCCCACATGTACACTGCAATGTTGTTCGCATTTACGACTTCGCAACTCAAGATCTTGGCGCTGTTGTTACAGGAGGTGATCGCGGTGCAACTCAAGATCTTGGCGCTGTTGTTACAGGAGGTGATCGCGGTGAGCTTCCGGGTGTGGAAGGGATGTGGGAGAGTGGCTGGGGATGGGGAAGGAGCCTGAGTATTATTTTTCTCTCACATTAGTTCAAATTTTGTTTAAACATAAAATGTTATGGTTTTTCTTTTGTACAAGTGGCATCCACGTAGGAAAACAAAGGATTTCTAAAGTGCCACGTTATAACTTTGGACGAAAATTCTAATCAACTTGCTAACATCTTTCAGTTAGCATAGGATTTCTCAAGGGTAAAATTGAACATGCAAAGTTGAGTTATGGAACAAGTTGGGTGAAAATGACTTAAGGGCAAAGTATAGAACTCAGTTGAGAAACATCTTTCAGTTAGTTACAAAGTCTTTGAACATTAAAATTCAGAACACACACTGAAGTTAAACTAATTCTCCACGATTAAGATTTTCTCAAGTCTGAAAAACAAATGTTCAACAAAAGAGTTCCTACTAAAACTAAGACTTAGGTGAGAAAAGAGAATTGCGTTTTATTGAATAAAGTGCGCAGAAATTACTTTATCTAGATGAAAACATCAAGATACAGAGCCATATCATCATCAAGACATGGGTTATCAAGCATCTTAGATGTATATAGATTTGCAAGCACATAATCTAAAGCAAGATACAAGCTAACAATTCGGTGTACATCTTTTATTATTTTGGTGTCAAAAGTAAATTACAGATTTCATCTAAATACAATTTGGTACAAACATTATACCATCTAAATACAAGTCAATCAAACCTTGTATACATACGAACAGAAAATGCTTCTTTTTCAGGGTAGCTAAGTATACTTACTTACACTAGACCACTTGCATGAATCACTATGACCAACACATATTCTACTCAACATCCATTTGAAGATAGATTTTTATTAAGCTGGCCAAAATCTTCAATTTCCAAATACAAGATCCAAGATTCAACGTCACTTCAAATAGTGATATTCTAATTAACACATATAGTAAATTTTCAATTTATGTAATTCGAGCAAGGATGATGGATACTTGAATGAAACCCAAGTCCACCCTCGTTCAAATGACAATAACAATTAACTCATTTGTTTATACAAAGAAATCACGGTCGAACCGTACAAGGACCAGTAATTGATCCTGATCTGAACCAAGTCTTCTTCAAACTCAAGAAAAGAGCGTAACCCATTAGATCATATATGCTACTGCTACTGGTACCTCCAACCACTCAAAGATCGTGATCTCAAAGATTAAAAGAGTAAAAAAGAGGTTGATGGATTTACCCGTGGAGCATAAGAACTGTTACTCATAATATGATGCCTTCGCAACAGTGCCGCAGCCTAGGGAGGTCTACTCTCTGCGGAGAGTGAAGTCTGTGAAAGATGGAGAAGCTACGGATAACTATTTATAGTGGTTCCTCTGAAACCCTATTTAGGGTTATGGGCTTCTGAGGTCTATTTTGGGCTATAATATTGGCTATGCCGGGCCTATTAAGTCGGTTTCATGAACATAATTGTTTGTCGAAAAAGGGCTAGGCTCTTGAGTTCGAATTAAAAAGGTTCAAGAGAACATAAGGTCTCTAGTTTCGAATTGTTTTTCCTTTTAAATTAGGATAGAAATTGTATAGTAACAAAAGAAAAAAAGAATAGGAATGTATATGGTGATTGCGTTTCTTTGATTGTCCAAATTATGGATTTTTTTATGTTACTTAGGCGAATTATGAATTTAGAAGGTGGATAGGGAGCATGATTGGAGTTGTATTTTTCCAAATCCTCCCTAAAATTTGTCTAAGGAGGTGGTTTAGGGAGCTCATTGTGAATGCTCTAATAAACTTGGTGGATTAGGAGTAACCCCAATTCTCAACTTGCTGAATTATCCATTAGTTAGTGAGCGCCTTCAAAATTCAATTTTTACAATGGGTGTCTCCAGCAGATCATTAGGTTGCACATAAATTGCCACTTTCTTTTTTAACTTGCCATATATGAAATAATTGAATTGGTTTGTCTATTTGTTTCATTTGTAAGTAATTTTGGAATTTCATGTTGATGATGATTTTTAGTATTACATTTGTTTATGGCATATACGGTATTTTTAGTATAAAAATTTGTGTCCCGGTTTCCCACACGAGAAATTATAGAATGATACGGTATCACCACGTCATTTGGTGATACTTCCATTCAAAATGCGCCATGTGTACTATTTTTTTAAAGAAAAATTAACTATTTATACAACTTGGTTTAAAAATCTAATTTTATAATTTAAAACCATAAAAATAAAACTAAAATAAAAAAAACTCATTAATAATAAAAATCCCCAACAACCACTTCCCTGAGCTCGCACCAAACCTCCACCTGCCCACTTTTTGCCATGGCTCCCGTTGTTCTTTCATTTTTCCAATCTCTCTCCCTTTCTACCTCACCATCCCTCCTCTCTATTATGGATTTAGGGTTCATGGAATTCTCTCTATGATGGCTTTAGGGTTCAAGGAATTTAGATTGAAGATTTGTTGGGGGTGGGTTTATGGTCTTTGAGAAATTATTTAATTTCATACGCAAAGGTCAAGAAGTCTAAAAGTTTTTGAGGAATTTGATAAGCTTCCAAAGTCCAACAAGGTATATGGCCATTGAGATTATTGACAAGAAAAGCAAATTTTATAGTAGGTGAATAGGAATCCAATCTTGGTTGCATAGCTTTCCATGTATCAATAGCCGAATCAATTTTTTTTCTAATGATTGTGAAAGTGGAATCATCCATGTGTTGGGGTGTCATCAAATTCACACAGAGAATGAGGCAGTAGTCATGGAAGACAGTGGTGGGGGATCACTGTCGATGAAGCGGGTGGTTTTTGGGTTTTTTTATTTCTAAAGTTTTTTTAAAATCATTTTAATTTTATTTTTAAAGTAAATATGAGTGTTGAATTTAGTTGTCGAAAAATAATACATGTGGCGAATTTTGAATGGAAGTATCACCAGTTGACATGGTGATACCGTACCATTCTATAATTTCTCCTCGCACACATCCTCTAAGATTACTACTCTACTACTATTAGAAGTTATAAACTTGCTGACCTCCTGATTTTCTGAACATTAACAAATTTTGGGGTCAATTTGTATTCAGAAGAAAAATGGCTTCCCAAGTAAGTAGTGCAAAAGGAGGAAAAGAAAAACACTCAACAGTCGAAGTCATTGGAGTATCCTTGTAAAGTTATGATTATGAATACATAACGCCTCTCACATGCATGTGAAAAATAATTAATGACCATATACCAATATATCTAGAGCAGCGGCCGAGGTTGTTTACATGTGATCTTTAATCTACATTACTTCACTTCCAACCAAAAAAAAAAATCTACATTACTTCACTGGTCAATGATTTTTTTCTTCTTTTTGGTTGAAACAGTAAGATTCATTGATAAACAGAATAAAATATAAGATACAAACTTGAAGAACAGTCTCCAAAAAGGTTATTGCAATGCATAAAATCTAAAAAACATAAACAACTAGGCAAATATATATATAGGGCTGAAAAATGCGGGCCCATGTCCCATCGTCCGGCTTCTAATTTCATGAAGCTTAAAGCAAATACAAAATTTAAAAAATATATATATATTTATAGTAAGGTTTATGCAAAGATGTTCCTACATTATTTTTAATTGAATTATATAAAAAATCTACTTGTTTGTTCATGCATATAGATATTTAAGGAGATTGATAAATTGTGGTGATTTGGGCTAATAGTTTTAGTGATGCTTTTGTCCGCGTTAGTTTTGCTTTTAGCATGTTAGTTTGTTACACTCTTGAAATTAATATTTTAAATGTCTTGTTGATGTATTTGATTGTACCGTTAAAGTTTATCTAATGAAGTTTCTATTTTATTTATATATATAAAAAAATCGATAAATTATTTAAAAAAGAGCAAGTACAAATGCCTTATCGATATCAGTTGTTCAGAGTCTTATGTATCATTTTGTTCCCAATGTATTTCCATTTTGTATTCTTTCACACTTTAATATAATATTTAGAATCTAGATGCTTCATTCCTTCAACTTTAATTCTATGGTTTCAATTTAACCCATTGCTGAATCTTATCAAAATAGAAATGAACCAAAAACAAAAAAACAGTGATGAATACGATTGTGTGGTTGTTGGCGTGATTCACAATTTCACAACCGTGCTCCTACTCAAAGCTTCACGCATTGCTTAAGGCACCACTTACTCTTTGAATGTGACTTGATCTGTTATTGTCAAAATTGGTTGGAAATTTAAGCTCCACTACCTCCCAAATTGGTGGGCCAATTTAAGGTCACCCACCAAGCCTTCAGTTCTAAGGAGCTTAGGTTTTGGGTTATATCTCTAGCACTTGCCCCAAATGTCACCCTCCAAATCACTTTCTAGATCACCTAAGACACAAATCTCATCTCAAATTTTGGGTCAAATTATAAGTTAGAGTCATGCATTAGAAACTCAAAACTTAAACTTAACATTTACCCCAAACTCAAGCCCATATTAATCATGTGCTCATTTTTTGTTTTAACAAAATTAGGAAGGGAGAGGAGGGCGATTTTCACACATACTATCAAAGTGTTAAGGGAGTTCGAACTTGAGACCATAAGTCTACAAGTCAATATTATTTTCCATTGAGTTAGACCCCGTTGACTATTAATGATGCGCATTGGAGCAATAAAAATTATAAATATTAAGCCCCACCAGTTTTGAACCCAAATATATTGAGCTGGCCTAATAATATAGTACCAATTTAGAATAATTTCCCAGAATTTTCCACTTTTTGGACTTTTCTAACAGTGTGTAGCTAGCACAGAATAAAAAAGATTCCTAAACAAAGGCAATTAATCATATGGGAACAATTCTTATTCCCACAAGCACTTGTGTTGTACCTTCCTCTAATATTCTCAGTTTTTCACTATTAAGTACTAATTGTGCAGAGGGAAGCACATTATTTTTAGGAGATGCAAAGCAAATTATAATTGGGGTGGAGACTAGCAATTCTGGTAATTTTTTTCATTAAAGCTTTCTTTATACTTTTTCAAGTAAAATAACCACATAAGGAGTTGATGAATAATTTTATTCAACCACGTCGGTTCATGAGATTTGAACTCAAGACCTCCTCAAACAAACAAATTAGAGACTAAATAGCACTAGACCAAGCGCTTATGTACATAACCATATAGGATTTGAAAGTCAATTAATCTCATATTTGTTTGCAGGGTCTCTCTTTTTGTGTATAAAAATATGGTACAAAGACAAAAGAAGAAGAAATTGTGGTTTTACAGATTAAGTTTGGAAAGGGGAAACAAATGGTTTTAATTAGGAGTTATAGAATTCTTTTCCTTTCCATACCTTGTGAACACAAATCTCCCTGTTGAAGTTGATCTCTTCACCAAGCTGAAAACTCCACTTCTATGGTTGTCAGATTTGGAATTCTGTTCCTCAGCTACTCTATTTGAGGATCCAATTCCCATGGAAAATTGGACATTTTCCATCTGGTTCTCCAAGTCCTCATCATCTTCACTGTCATGTAAATGCAACACATCAGAAATGGAAACACAATTCAAAGAAGCTGATCTCCTCAATTGCTGGATCCCATCTTGTCCAATCTCACAACTGTTCACTGTATTCTCCAAGTGAGCCCTTTCTCTAACAATATCTTGAGTTGCGGTCTTTGGAACAACATGATCATTTGCAAGACTTACAACCTCTTCCAAATCTTGGACAACCAAAACACTTGCATGGCTTCTGTGCTGGTATTCTGAAGCAGTCACATTTTGATCCTGCTGTGGATTCTCTTGAACTGGAGACAGCACTTGTTGATGATGATGGGGCACCAAAGATATGGCAGGAGCAGCAATATTCGACCGGCACAGCGGGCAACTAGAGTGAGATTTGAGCCAAGTATCAATGCAAGGAACATGGAAAGCATGGCTGCACTTTGGCAATAACCTCAGGCTCTCATTTTCTTCAAACTCACTTAGGCAAACAGAGCAGTCTGTGCCTTCTACAAGGCTGTCACCTCTCTTATACTTGTGAACTTTGATTGACTTGATCAGGGACTCATCAAGGCCAGTTGTTGAGCCTTGCCATGATTCACTAACTTGGTTTGGATTCGAATTCTCCATGTCTATGTCTCGACTGCCATCGTTGTCTCTTCGCCGGCAATATTTCGATATGATGGTGTAGTAAGTGACTAAAATGAAAGCACTTGCAAAGATGCCAATGACTGCTATAATGAGAGGAGAGAAATCTGTAGCAGAGTCTTTGCTGTCATCAGCTTCTGCAAAATAAAAAGGAGGAGGAGGAGGGCCAAGGATGTAGCACCATTGTGGACAGTAGATACTGCAAATTCCTTGAGAACAATCTTTGTAAGTATCATATGGTGCCCAAGGATTTTGGTTCCCTGAAGAGCCCATATGACCAAAAACCTCAATGGCACACCCTACCAGATCTTGGCCTCTTTTCTTAATTTGATCACTTTTGCTTTGCTTGATATATGCCAAAGAAGGAGGGGAGAGAGAGAGAGAGAGAGAGAGAGAGAGAGAGAGGTAGGCAAGTGTTAAAGAAAAAGTAGAGCAAAATGAGGGGCTTAGATGGAAAGTGAAGCAAAGTAGTAGAGGAGATGGATTATTGATGTGTCTCCCTTATATTCTACTTTCTCTTTTATTTGTTTTCTCTCTCTCTCTCTCTCTCTCTCTCTCTCTCTCTCTCTTTCTTTTTCTTTTTCTTTTTCTTTTTCTTTGGCATTATTTATAGGAGGTGATGGTTTCTTTTCTAGTCTATTTGTAAGTAGATGATTGGTAGTTGAGTTTGTGATCCGAGTGACTAATCTAAAGCTTAAGAAATCATCCAAGTCTCTAGTCGGTGAATATAGGTGAGAGAGTGGACTCCTTGCATTTTCTATGCAAGCACACCACACTTCCAACTAACTCAACCTCAGCTTCCTTGCCATCTTAAAAAAGGAGTAATCATTTTTACTTAATTTAATATGTACAAACATTTTAGTATTAACCGATATTTTATGTCTAGTTAATTACCATGACAACTTAGTGAAAGTCGCCATGATCTTGTATTTTATTTCTTGATAGTTCATTATAAACATGTATTAAGTTTTGGTAATGGTTCTCAATCACCATTTTATCTAGGAACATTTTATATCTCCACTCGTTCGAAAACTTGTTTGACAATAGTTCACCCACAGAAACAAAGAAGAATTTACTAAAGTTAGTACATTGATGCATCAATGGAGTAAGTTTTAGGTTAAACATTATATCGTTACGTGGTCCATATATCAACCGTGTTAGAACTCCATTATGTTTATTAATATTATACCCTTATTGTATAAATCTATCATTCATTTATATTATAATACGTGTATTAAAAACAACCATCACGTTACAATACAAACAACATTTCCTCAATGTATCTTTCATACTTGCGATGTTGTTGAACAAAAAAACCCTTAATAGGTGTTGAGATTCCTACTTTGGAAGGATTTGTCTCCTTAAAATAAAGTTATTTGAATTGCGGTTCTCTCAAATGAGTGTGAGATGTTTTATTCTACGTAGGCGCAGGCCTAAGGAGGCCGGCGTTACATACAATACAATCCTATGTAAAATTACTACAAAAGTTAGTTTAGTAATAAATAAATATTAATCATAATAAAATATTTAAATATTTAAACCCAAGAATAATTTTTCTTTACTTTACAGAAATGTGATTGAGATGTGAGCTAAACACGTGCAGCCATGTGAGTTCTATGCAATTACTGAGATCTTATTTGTTGGCTTAGGTGAACTTAGGATGTTTTGAACAAAAAAATAAAAAATAAAAACTTTTTCCCCCAAAAACATATATATATATATATAGAAAAAATAGAAAAAGAAAAAAAAGTAATTTGTGATGTAAAATAAAAAGACTTGTATGCAGAGTTTGGTGCGATTGGCAAACTGCCACCTCCAGATGGCAACTTACCTAGTGCCTTAATGGCATAGGTTCGAAATCCGTTGAAAGCACTTTATGGTCAGGAGTAAGCCGAATTCAGAGCGATGATTAATCCTACTTTTCAAATATGGGGACACCTCGTGATATTTAACAGAAACAGAAATCCTTGTATGCTTATGGAAATTTTGACCCTTCTGCAATTCCAAGGTAGCATTAAAAAAATTAATGAATACAACATCACCCAATAGTACCCTTCCAATTTTGTGCCGTCTAAATAGGCTTGAAATCTTTTCCGGCCAAAAAAATAATTATAGGCTTCAAACTTGATCATTTGGCTCCAAGGAAAAGAGAGTATTCCCAGCCACTGAACTGAAATCTCAAATTTAAAATTACAATGAAACATGTACTAAAATTTTATATGGAAACCACGAGTTTATAAATTTAACAAAATTTGAAAAGAATATGCATCTACAAACTGATAAAATTATGATTGTGCGAAGCGTTCAGATTCATCTTATGAAGTCAAATTAATAACGGATTGACCTAATAATGACACGTTCTTAAAGGATCAAGTCAATGTTCATTCGCGGGACATATTTTAGGTACACATTAAAATTGTAAACTGAGATGTGAATATTATAAGTCTTAACTGAAAATGTTTTTTTTTATTTTTGGGTTTTAGAATTTTAACTATTACATTTTATTTTCAATTAGAGTGTATGAAATCTGTATTAGTCCTCAATGTACGTTAAAATATATGATTGCTTTTCCGCAGAACTAAAAAATATGCAGAGAAAGAAAAACAAATTTTTTTATGAACATTATTGTACGGTGCACTATATGTTTTATTATCCATGTTACCAACTAATCCTACTTTAGATCCTCCTATCCGGAGAGATATTTTCAATTAAAATACTATTACAAAGCAAAATAGGGTGTATGCATTTTATCTATCTGTGCATAATATATCTTTTATCACGTGAGGAGAGAGACAGAGAGAAAAGTATATATATATCAGGTTGCACGACATATTTGAAATAGTAAGAATTCCATAATATGACAGACTATTTTGATGAAGAGTTATTTACACTAACACTCCTTGAGTTTTTCTACTTTTTCACAAAAGTCCTTGAGGTTTTAGAAATTACACGAAAACCCCTTTAGGTTGTAAATTATTTTTACAAAACTCATTTTCATTGATTTTTCATCCAAAAATTGATGATTTTATACAAATTCTCCAAATGACAAAGTTTGCCTTTGAGATTACATTACATATACTTCATTGAGGTTAATTTTGGACAAACAATCAACAAAAAGGGGTTTTGTGAAAACACAAGAAAACTGAGGGGGTGTTAGTATAAATAATTCTTTTGATGAGTAAGAATAACAACTTAAACTAACTAATACTTCACTAAAAGAAAAGAGTGTTTTTTAGCCTTAATTAATTGATAGTTGTAACATCATTTTCGGTTTCTACATACAGCTCAGTCTATGTAAAGAGTATTTAGCCTTAATTAATCGATAAGGAAATAATACAAGAAAAATACATCTATTTTATGCATGCTAGTCTATACAGTGCCTGTGTGATTTGTGGTTCAGAGATAAGCATTGACTATGAATAATACAATAGAAGAAACTACAAAAGCTTTTTTATCTTTAGCTTACCCATGCTGGTATTTAGATCTCTGTTTAATTAATTATTTATCGCTTTTTACTATGAATGAATGATGGCTATAAACATTATGCTCAAATTATGACTATGCTCTTCCCTTCCTTCTGTCATCCAGTGCCTGCACCAGAAAACACAAAACAAAAGAAAAATAAATTTCCAAGTTTGAAGATTAGGAATTACTTACTAATAGTGTGCATCACCAAGAAACTAATGAAAATATGTGCGTCAAAGATGTGTCTCCCCCGGACCTAACCCTACAGATTGGCCCTTTGCGGGGCTAGCAATCACAATTTTTGATCAAATAGACACCACTAGGTCAGTACACATCTAGAAGTGATGCCATCTAATCAAGAATCTCAACTAGCAGTCTAGAAATATAACTTCTTACACTGCACGACCATGTGTTCTGTGCGGTTGTGTTGTGTGTGCATTATAGATATGCCCTTTACATTTCCTCTTACATTCATTTCTCAAAGTTCTAAAGAATATGATATGGAAGCCCCTCTTTGCTCCACTGTTAGAGGATAATCTAGATAGACTACTAAATATCAGAAAATGATTGTTTGTTTCAAAACATTTCCATGCTTCTTTAACAAAAACAAAAACAAAAACAAAAACAAAACAAAAAATACTTCCATGCTTCGCCTCCTGAGTTTTACTGTAATCCACATATTCTGTTATAGTTAAACTAACATCAGAGTCAGACCAAATATGTTTCAAAGCATCTGTTTGTACTTGAGGCTTAAAAAGGGTCAATTGAATTTGTACTGCTTAAAAAGGAATCATATTAAAGAATTGATGACGAGGAGTAAAAAATATCCCCCATTCTTTTGTTAACCATAAAACTTATGTCCCAGATCTTGCATGAAAACACATGAAAGAACTATACATGCAGAAGTTGGGGCACAATCTGAAGTAAAGAAATACCTTGCCTTGGAGTATTCTCATGGTCAACACAAGAGTATCGCGCATCCTGCAAAAGAAATTGAATATATCATATCAGATGGGATATTGTTGACAAAAACAAGAATTTTTAGTGTGATTCACTTGATTACAGCCACTATCTCCTCCAAGATTAGCTCCAGCTGATTTCCTCAGTTATAGGCTTAATCATCACAATTCTAACATATTATCCACTGAGTAACCGTATATGTGATTCTCGTATAGATCCTAATGGCAACAGCAACTTTTTTGTACTATTCTCATATCAGAAAATGGACATAAAATACAAGTCTGATAAACCATAAAATCTCCAGAAAATGATCCAATGCAGCACTACAATATCAAGAATGCTTTAGTTTAAATATACAAGTATACAACAAAAGTTATTGACCAAAACAAAAATGAAACATAAAATCAAAATTAATGTATTACCGAACATTGTTCGTGCTACAAGGATGAGAAGATCCATCAGAACATGTCAACACAAATTGTGTTGATAAGCCACAAGGAACTTTGATCTGCAACCAACATATTATGGAAGTTTATATGGATTGTTATGTTTAGAAAATATAATACAATACATTTTATATATTGTCTTGAGTTTGACTTAATCCACTGAATTATATATTGTTTTGCATTGTAGGTTCTGATTACTTAAAAATGACTAGTGACAGAAACTGTAACTAATGTCTGGTAAAAAAATATCCATTATATGAATCAAACTCTATTCTGCCTTTAGGGAATCTTTCAACAGTGCGGATTCTTGCAGATTTTGTCAAACACTGTCGGGCTTATAAGAAAGCATGATTGCTTTTAGTTCTGTATGATGGATGCATATTTTGACAAGGAATTCACTTTCATCATGCGAAACTGTAGATACAAAACTTTTTATTATAACCTTTTCTAGACCAACTTGATACAGTTGTATAAAACTTATTCATTATGATTTAAATTCATCCAATACTTCAACAAGTAACTTGGAGAACATCTCATGACATAAAAACCTAATTTCTCAAATGAAGTATCACCAAGTAAAGAACATACTGATAATTCCTTTGAGAATTTCTCTGCAATTACAACAGGTTCTGTACTATTGATCTTG